CACCTGATCAATAGACCGCCTTTTTTTTCGCCCTCTCCGGGTGACATCCGTGCTGAGTGGCTACCAAACTGCATCGCCCGCTTTTTCCTGCTGCTCGCCTCAACCAACCCGACTTTCCGCGCTGCCAGTCTCAGCAGCATCTTTTCTCCCAGACCTGACTCAAGTCTCGGGTCCGTCTTCAGGTGCACCGGTAGCTGTGCAAGGAACGAAACCACGGACAAGGAAAGGAAGGGATGCCGCGTCTCCTTGCCGCGCGAGGAAATGACTCTATCGTCCCGGCCAAGGTTCCGCATCGGTATCCGGTCAAGTTCAAGCTGAAGCTGTAAGATAGGAAAATCGTATCTGATGCGGCACGAAATATTAAAAAGGTCTCTCACCTCGCCAATAATCGCTTGCCATCCGCCTACTTTGAAGCATGTCCGGAAACGACCGTATCCCCCGAGCAGTTCATCCGACCCCAGTCCATTCAGAAGAACGCGGGCAGGAGACACGTATGCGACAGGTTTTGAGTCAGGCATGCTGCGAACCTGGCCGATTCCTCGTGCTGCAAAATATAGCGCGACGGCCAAGCTCTGCACGATGATTCAACGCGAGCTTGTAAGGGATGAGACATACCAACGGTACTTACCAGGTCCATCACCGTTCTGCTCGGAAACATAAGCGCTTCGACGATCGGTCGAGCCTCTTGCGATTCCTGTTTCCGTCAGTATCCTTCAAGTCATTATGATGCAACGGACTGACTTCAAAAGGAACGTTGATCTCGACCTGAGTGCAAACACAGACAGTCTAATAGTGTCGAAGCCAGCAGAAGATCCACATACGAAATTCCAGACACGACCAGGACACAGCCGCCGCAGCTCCTCGAGCTCAAGAAGACCTGTCAGCCTATCCGGCACACCATACGTGACATTGACTGTCGAGTAATCGATCCGCTCGCGCAGCTTTTTCTCTCTCTTGGGAAGCCCGCCAATGTTACCTTCAACCTTCACACAGATCTTACGTGGGTTCTCAAAGGCAACATTCAGCAAGTCGATAGGTTCTGAGGGGTCGACATGCCTAGAAGGACAGTTCATGAGATCAGAGTCAAGGCGGGGATATCAGGATTTGTCATGCACCTGTGAGCAAGAAATGCTAGCATGGTCGAATCGATGCCTCCACTGAAGAGTACTGCTACTCTTGCTTGGCCAACGGACGTCCTGTCACACTAAGTCAGTTGGCATATCACAAAAGGATTAAAGAGGGTGCACTGACGCCACTCTTGGGACGTTCTGGACGCGTAATCTGACACTAAGGTCGAGGTGAGATAGCAATTCATCGACGGCTGATGTCAGATGTTCGGGAATTCGTGCCAGATCCTCGACTTTGGGCGGATCCTCAGGTATCATCACATTGATTCTATCGAGACGTGCCTATATGCATAACCTTTTAGCACATAGATATGTCATATGAAGACGTTTCGAACCATACGTATTTTGATGGTGCTTTCGGGTCATATCTTGGGACCTCTTGCAGGCATTCTTCGAACGAAGCCTCTACCTGAGGAGTGACTCACATCAGAGAGCTCTACAAGCATGTTAAAAATCTCTCCTACACTGTCTACAAATCTTAAACGTGCGATATCAAGCACATAGATGCAATGTGTCGACAACTCTTCCAGCGTATAGCCGGAGTGAGAGCCTATTGAGACGGAGCACAACAGAAAATACGGGTTCTCAGCCATCGGTCTGTGAATCAGCAGAGAGCGTCGCCCGAGCGGATCGCGAGCGAAGAACAGGCGGCGAGCCGAGTGCTGCAGGCCATTACTATTAACTATCGTCATCTTCAACGTTAAGAATATCTCACTTGATAATATACCACGGCATAGCTGGCTCGAAGACATAAATTAGAACTGTGCCTTCACGAGAAGCGCGGCAGTACTTACGGGCCCTCAATACTGCCTAAGCAGTCTCGGATGCCTTCTGCAGTTTCCTGCTTCTGAAGCAGTGAAAACAATTTTGCGCCATCGTTCTCCTCCGACGCGACCTGAGAGACATTCATTCATTCGAAAACCTATAGAACGGGACTCTCGTACTCACATCTATGCCCCCGAATATCTGTCAAGAATAATGCATGTGTTATTTGATATCTCCCCGCCAAATTCCACAGCAGCAATTGATGCTCACCTCACCATTCCAACATAGAATATTTCCGCTAGTATCTCTATGCGGCTGTGCAATGTACGCATCCCCACGCAGCCGAAGCTCAGACGCAAAGAACGTCAACGAGCACTTCCGCACCAATATCCGAACGGTATCCTGGGCATCCGGACCTACAATCATTCTTCATATGTGAGAGCACTGCAGTTCGGTGTGTCCCTGGCAGTGCGAACCTCGGGCAGTGTTCGCAGCTTGCAGCTGCCGGAAGAGGTCCGCGAGCCAGTCGTCTCTCACCGCTCCAGACTGGAGGGAGAACAGAATCCCACACATGAAAGTCTTCCACAAAGTTTGCCAAATTAGGCATCGGCGTCCCTCCGCAACACTCTCGATCACATCCGTTTCTCACATCTCACCAAGCCGGAGAACGACTCGGAGCTACAAGAATCGTATACGTGCACGCTGACCGCAAAATTGCACGATGAGGATACATCTTTGTTCATTGTGTTCTATAATGCAACAGACATATGTGCTCTTCCCACATATCAGGACCAGGCACACAGTACCAAGGCCATCCAAAAATACACAACTTCTACACGGCTACTAGAACATCTTGCTTTCTTTAACTACCTCCCCTTCCTTGTATGCAGTACGCATGTGGATACTCATGCAGAGTACGTACTCGCAGCGACGTTACCGCCACGGCCGGTCCAGTTAATATCTATAGAAGGAAATGTAATGTGAGGAGCAAGCGCTAGGATGACTCAGTCGCTGATTACGTACGGATGTCCTCGCCAGCCTTGAGATGCGCACTCTCCTTGCCCGGCATAACTCGGAAAGTGTGCGCGCCGAAGTAGTCACGCTATCACAAGAAAACGCACGCATCAGCAATTTATGTGCGGGTAGATGTGGCTACAAATCGTACCTGTGCTTGCAGAATGTTTGCTGGGACGACTTCGCTTCTATAGCCATCGAAGAAGGCAAGTGCGGTGCTGAACGCAGGTGTTGGAATACCCCAGAGGACGGCCTGCGCGATGATGCGCCTCCAACCCGGCTGTGCCTTGTGCACCGCCTTGTTGAAGAATTCGTCGAACAGGAGCGACTCTAGGTCCTGTTTCTTCTGGTATGCCGAGTTAATGTCACCAAGGAAGACACTCTTGATGATGCAACCGCCTCGCCACATGCGCGCGATACCAGCATAGTTCAGGTTCCAGTTCATCTAGGCACCGGCATGATTGAGTCGACACATCAACAACCCGTTTGGCGCACAAACCTCCTTCGCGGTCTCCCTCATGAGCATGAAACCCTGAGCATACGATATAATCTTCGAGGCATACAATGCCTGCTCAAGATCGTCGATGAACTGCTTCTTATCGCCCTTGAACTCCTCCTTCTGAGGACCGCTAATGACTTTGCTCGCACGGACACGCTCCTCTTTGATGGACGACAGGCAACGCGCGAAGACAGCCTCACCAATGAGCGTAACTGCAAACAAGGCTGTCAATATACGTGACCACCAAGCAGACACCATAACATACCAGGCATGCCCGCGTCAAGCGCAGCGATGGCCGTCCACTTGCCCGTTCCCTTTTGGCCTGCCTTGTCAAGAATCTTGCTCACCATGGGCTCACCGTCGTCATCCTTGAATTTCAGGATGTTCGCGGTAATGTCGATCAGGAACGAGTCGAGGACACCCTTATTCCACGTGAGGAAAATGTCCGCAATCTCGTCCTCCTTTAGGTCGAGGCCACGGTGCAGAATGTCGTAAGCCTCAGCGATCAGCTGCATATCACCGTACTCGATACCTGAGAAGCGAGTGTTAGACACTTGGCACTGACTCTGTTAAGGCGAGAGGCAACCGACCGTTGTGGACCATCTTGACGTAGTGACCCGAACCAGTCTCGCCGACCCAGTCGCAGCAGGGCTCGCCGTTGACCTGTGCAGCGGCTGCCTGGAAGATAGGTTTGATGAATGGCCATGCGGCGGGCGAACCGCCCGGCATGAGTGAAGGACCATATCGAGCACCCTCCTCACCACCGGAAACGCCGGAGCCAACGAACAAGAAGCCCTTCGCCTCGAGCTCCTTGCAGCGGCGGATACTGTCAGGATAGTGAGAGTTACCACCATCAATGACGATGTCACCGGGCTCGAGGTGGGGGATGAGCTGCTCAATGAACGAATCGACGGCAGGACCGGCTTTCACGAGGAGAATAATCTTGCGGGGCTTCTTAAGCTTGGCGCACAGCTCCTCAATAGAGTGGGCGCCTTGCACTTTCGTCCCTGATAATGCAAGATAGACGCATGAGCTACTTGTGTGCCCATATCTTGGGGACATCACCAACCCTTTGCTTCGTTCGCGAGAAAATGATCTACTTTGCTCGTTGTACGGTTGAACGCAACAACGGTGAAGCCCTTGTCATTCATGTTAAGGATCAAGTTTTGGCCCTGTCGCAGAACCGTCTGCTCAGACTAATTCGGTTCTCATGGGGCAGAGCTGCATACCATGACGGCCAGACCAATGAGGCCGATGTCACCGCTGCTGGTGGTGAGTATATGCGCGAATCATGGAAGACGGGGCACCTACACGGGTTGAGACATGTGTGAGAGGATAGCGGCGAGGCGACGGGCGGAGGACGTCGTGGTAGGAGACGAAGAAGCTGGAGAGCGGTAGGTGATGTCGATGAGATATAACTCGGCATGCATCTGACGTCTTTGTCACGCCGGTCCGACGGGCCCACGCCTGTGATCGTGAGACGATTCGCCAGAAATTAACTCCCCAATCCCTTGCAATTGCTCGCCTATTCTCACCGTGGACGCCAGCATCGGCCGAGTGCTCCCACGGACACCTGCGATAGCGCCACGCTGACACGACTGCATGAGAGCACGCAGTACGCTGACTGTGCGAGCGTTGTACGCGGCAAGAGGGTTTCGGCGAGCAGTGGAACCACAGGCAATGCGTCACTGGACGTGACCATTCTGTGACGCGACGCGGACGTCGGTGCACGTGATCGTGAGCGCTCGTGTCAGACAACCGAAGTCAATCACCTCGAAGACTCTACCTGCGTTCGGTGCGCGGGCGACGGACATCGCTTGCGCGCGCACTGACGACGGCGAAGAATGTCTGAAGCATCGCCTGCCAAGAAGACACGTCGCTGCAGGGGTCAGTGATCAAGACGATCTCGGCCATTGCCGATGCAGGGGAAGAGCGCGTCGGGTTGATGGCACTGACTCAGGTCTCGAGGGCTTATTCAGTGCCAGCTGCTGCCTCTGCACGGTCTTGTACTGTCTCTACCATCGAGCATGTTGGCCTCATTACGACTTTCTACCCAACGCGCTCCCAGCGGCGCTCTGAAACGATGCTCCCCTCCTCTTTCCGCCACTAGTCATGCACAACTGCATCAAGCGCGGTATAGCTCCACTGCTTCTGCGTCTGATATTGAGGTACGCCTCTCCGCATGCTAACCGTGTTCAGTATTCCCGACGCGAACAACAGGTCTCTCGCGCCCTCGTAGAAGTTACCGGCGACCCAAAGTCGCGCCCTGATCCGGCGACCCTGTCGTTCGGCAAGGTTTTCGTAAGAAGCACCCGTCATGCATAGTCTACTGTCATCTTGACTGGCCACGGCTGGTTCTGGATAGACCGACCACATGCTCACTGTGCCATGGACGGCTGTCACTGGTTGGGGTGCCCCTCAAATCCATCCTTGTGCGTCTTACATCCTGCAACGATCGTGGTCTTCTTACTCACCCAAAGCTGCCCATGTAACTCAGACCGCCCCATCTCCCTCGAGCCCAGCGCAACAGTCTTTCACTACGCACTATGTCTCTTCGAGGGTCTCAAGGCCTACCGAGATAGCAAGGGACGAGTCACTCTCTTCCGCCCGGACATGAACATGAAGCGCATGAACACTAGCGCGCAACGTATCGCCCTCCCGGTGCGTGCGTAATTTTCCTAGCATGCCAATCTTCTTCTGAGAAGTAGTCAAGCTCATTGTGATACTGTGACTCCGACAGACCTTCAATGGCGAGGCCGTGATCGAGCTCATCAAGCGGCTCGTCCGGTTAGACAAGGACTGGATACCAGATAGACCTGGATACAGCCTGTACATTCGGCCGACATTAAGTGAGCTGATCTGCTTGAGTAACGTCTAAATATACTGACAGCCCGGAAGTCGGCTCGCAGCCGGCGATCGGAATCGCTCCTCCCAGCGAGGCGATACTCTTCGTCATCTGCAGTCCTGTCGGTCCATATTATCCGAATGGCTTCAAGCCCGTAGCGCTCTACGGAACGACGGAGTACACACGTGCTTCTCCTGGAGGTATGGAATTTGTAAACCTTCCGCGCGTAATAATGGAGATCTCACAGTGCCTAAGGTATTGGTGCATACAAGCTCGGAGCGAATTATGCGCCGGCCTTGTTTGCACAGAAGGAGGCAGCGAAGAAGGGCTACGTTCAGAACCTCTGGCTACACGGACCCGAGCACTACATCACAGAAGTGCGTCCTGCACTCGAAAGCTAGCTATCTGTACTCACCCTGCAGTCTAGGTTGGCACCATGAACGCGTTTGCGGTGTTCAAGCGCGCCGACGGAGGTGCGCAATTCCGTGTTTCACCAGGCTCTCATCCAGCTCATGCACGGTCGCTTGCATTCGTCAGTCGTTGAGCTCGCAACACCTCCTCTCGATGGCATGATCCTCCCGGGCGTCACGCGGGACTCCGTGCTCAATCTCGCGCTGGACCACATCTCAGGCAAGGCGAAGATCCCCGGGCTCCCACACAAGCTCTCCGTCTCCGAGCGCCCGATCACCATGGAGGAAGTCAAGGAAGCCGCGCAAAAGGGCCACCTCGTAGAGTTCTTCGGCACAGGTAGGTGTTTCGGTGAATCCTCACTTGTGGTCTCGCTGACGGTTCGCAGGCACGGCGGCGGTGATCAGCCCGGTGGAGAGGATCGGGTACGTTGGAGAGGACATCCACATCCCGACAGGCTCGGATGGCATGGGCCCGGTGTCGCGTCCGATCTGGCAGCGGTTGGTCGATATCCAGACGGGCAAGGTTGAGCATCCCTGGAGCGTTGTGGTGATTGATGCTTAGGAAGCGGCAGTGAGCTGGAGGTGTGGTCAGTGTGGTCAACTGCGATATTTAGCACATTTTATAGCATCGGATTATATACTTCGTCACAAATTGCCCGCGTTGAATAGAGTATCGCCGAATGACATCATCGCCCATTGAGCGTCGAAAGTGGCAAGCTGCTCGCAAGCACCGACCTTCTTGAGCCAACATGGTCCTGCGGTCAACCTCGCTCCGCTCCCACTTCAAGCTCACTCAGAGCCCTCTCCTGCGAGCATATACCGGACGCACTAATACAAATCGACGCTACGCCGTCGTCGGCACGACCACCTTCGTCGGCGAGCCACCCTCCCCGCCGACGCCCCCGTCCTCCGGCGCGTCCACTGCGACACCCTCTGCAGACCTCCCCGCCGGTTTCGATGCACACGTCCTCTCCGAGCTGCGTCAACGCGCTAGCGCAGGTAGCCTGGTGTCACTACCGCGTCTGATCGAGCAGTACGTCGACCGCAGCGGGCATGTGCTGAAGAGCTCGTTGCCGTACGAGTCGCGTCCCGGGGAGGACAGGCGGGTCACGTTTGATGTGGCGGACACGGAGGGGACGGACGTGCAGGATTCGGTCGCGATGATTGTGCATGCGGTGCAGCAGGGCGAGGAGCACAAGGTTACGTATTGCTCAGGCTTTGCACTCGCAGCACCCGGTATGCCCGACGGGCAGTCCGTCTTTGTGACATGTGCGCACACGCTAGAGCAGGTGAGTATTCTAATGAGAATCGTCTGCGCTCATGGTCTCTGAATTTTTCTGCAGATCCGCCACAGCCCCCTCCTCCACGCCCCGTCCTCCTCTCCCACCCTCGCGTACTCAGGTTCCTTCGTGATCACCGGCCCATCCTCTTCCCCAACCTTCACGCCCGTGTCGTCCATCCTCTCCTCCGTGCAGCGCTCCGACATGCTCCTGCTCTCCACCGATTCTGCTACAGCGCCGCTGCGCACGCTCCCTGTCTCACTGTACCCCGCGCACGCAGGCACCCCCGTGCGCGCGCACTTTGTCCGCGACACGCTCCCCGCACAGGACGAGGAGGGCTGGCGACCGTGGATCGGAGGGACGTGGAGCAAGTGGGTACGTGGGTCGATTGTTGGCTACCGGGACCTTGCTGGGCGGGAGGCGAAGGTATGTGCTGTACTGCTATCGGGCCAGTGCTTCTGCTGACTTCATTTCCTCCAAGCCGGGGACGTACGATGCACTGTCCCATTTACTCTTCGACCCGCCGCCATTACCGGGCTCCAGCGGCGGGCCGATCATAGACGAAGAGAGCGGGGCTGTCATCGGCGTGATGCTAGGCACGCAGATGCAGAACCGACTGGAAGGTGTACGCGGATGGGGCGTGCCGTCCGAGATAATATTTGAGGTATGTCGCTCGCTTGATACACGCATATACCCAGTAAAGGGGAGGGTTGTGAACCAGATGTTCAGCTTGCCGGGACTCAAACTCAAGAATAGCTCGTAAAATAGGGGGGTTGTTGCCTAGACTAGTCATTGTAATATAGTGTAGTCACATCGTATACGAGCACGGACATAATTGTTCTGGCAAGGTTAATATAATGATACAATGAGCCGTCCTACAGATACAACTGGACGCTTCAATTCGCTAGGTGCGGACGTTGCGAAATATTGCATTAGATGGAGAATTCAGTAAGTCAGGCCTGTGCCATCATTTCAGAGCATGCATTGAGATCTACGTTTGCCCTGAAGAATGGGAATACTCACCTGCATCGTTATGACGCCTTCCGAGCCACCGTGCTTATTTGGCGACAGGGACACACCAAACCTTGTGGTACTTCCAACCAGGGACACGGCAGTCCGCACAAAAGTATGCTTCCTTGCATACTGAGCACTGCGTATTGATCCCGTCCTTCCCGCAGTAGCGGCAGAAGTTGTCCTGCCCCGCCGCGATCTTAGCCAGCCGCTCCACCACCATGTCAATCAGCATGTCTCCGCGCGTCCGGTACGCAGGCGGTGCCAGCGAGAGCCTTAGCTTGCTCGACAGCACAACTTCCCCGTATTCATCCGCGAACTTGTGTAGCACCCTGTTGTGATAATCGAACCCGCGCTCCAGCGCGAAAGGCTCATGGCCCGAGCCGCGCCCACCGATCTGGGGGAGCGCAAGGTCGAGAAAGACGCGCGTGTCCCTGGTCAGGTACGTCGACTGCGGAACACCGATGGCGAGGTACACCCAGGGAATGGGGCCATCGAACCCGGAGAGGTGCTGCTCCATGCCGATACTGGCGAGGCCGAGCTCGGGGCGCGGCTCATAGACAGCCATGACGCACGCCGTGTGCGGGAGCACCTCGACCTCGGCGATCAATACTTCATCGGGCGCGCAGGTCATCTCGTACCCTGTAGCCGTGCGCGCGCGGAGGCGAGCAGTGGGCGGGAGGCGTTCAAAGACCCTCTGTGCGACGTAGGTGAGGAGATAGCCCGCGTCGAAGTCTTTGCAGCGCCAGTATGCGGTTTCGAGCAGCTCGCGCCGCTGCTTGCCCCGCGGGCTGCCGGGGAGGACGCATTGTTCGGGATGCGCGAAGTTGTTTAGGGTGACAGGCGTGCTGAGTTGGGGATTCTTGCGCAGGATGTATGCGACACGGCGCTGGTTTTCGAAGAGGATGTGCCACTCGGGAGGGAGGATGTGGTCGGGGAGAGTCTCGAGCGGCCTGTTGCCATTGTTGACTTCTACGAGCTGGGTGTCTGTGAACCTGTCTTCGGTGCGCGCATGGCAGTCAAGAATAATGGCGGCGAGGTCGTGCAGGTCGACCACGAAATCGTCAGGGATTGTCAGGGCTGTCATGAGAATGATGGAAGCTCGAAGAAAGCCACTCTATAGGGGCCCTGGAAGGCTGGAACAAGCAGCTGATCGATAGGAGACAATATGTGATTAGGAAATGAACCGCCGGCCTGCGACGAGCATGGAAAGGGGATTGGCATTACAAGTACTGCCCATCAGGATAGAAAGGGCGAAGATGGGGCAGCAAGAGATGGCGGGGGCAGCTGGGGGCAGCCACAGACGCGACTGATGCGATTCTCTCCTCACCGACCTCGCCGTGACCGCGAAGGCGCGCTCTTCCCACCTCACGTTCCTTTGCATGGCTTCGCCAGCATCACAAGACGTTCGACGGCCCGCGAGGTGGTCAAGATGCATTCAGGCTGAATTGCGACTCCTTGAGTGTGACGACAAGTCCAGCCGCACTATTCTCTCGCCGTCACCTTCGAACGTCATCTGACCGGCATCGAAGAATGCTCAGCAGTGTTCTCGCAGCATGCACGAAAATAAGAGCTCAGCAATTCATCCATCTGACAACAATCGACCCATCGGTACCTTCATAAAGACTCACAGTGCTGCATACCAGTGCAGGGGACCCCGCATTGAGGACCATGCTGTCCACTCTGTTCCGCGCCGGTTACCTCGCTTGGGCAGCTGCTGCTGTCCTGGCTCACGATAATGGACTCGCTCTCACGCCGCAGATGGGTTGGGACACCTGGAATTACTATGGCTGCGACATCAGCGAGGACACCATCCTAAGCGCCGCGCAGGCGTTTGTCAAGTATGATTTGCCAAAGTATGGCTACGAATGTACGCAGGATGTGCATTGCTGTAGCATTCATTCGCTTATTGACCGCAATTTCTCCAGACGTGGTCATGGATGATTGTGAGTTGGCTCTCTAAGCGAAGTTAGGCTGACTGTTGACTCAATGATGCAGGTTGGCAGGCGGCAGAAAGGAATGCTACCACAGGCGCGCCAGTAGCTGATCCCGCCAAGTTCCCTTCTGGAATGAAAGCGCTAGCCGACCAGATACACTCACTTGGCCTGAAGGTAAGCTTATCTTCGTTGTAAAAGGCAACGCATGGATGTTTATAGTGCTTGTAGTTCGGTGTCTACAGCAGTGCCGGAAAGTAAGAGTGCTCAGAAGGCGCACAAAGCTCGTAGAAGTTTCAACGTTCAACGTCTTCTTAATTTATATAGGTACACTTGCGGCGGACATTTCGGGTCTTTGGGCTATGAAGAGATCGATGCAAAGGCGTACGCGGAATGGGGTGCGGATTACCTCAGTACGTGTCGCAGAACAATCAATGTGCGAAGGCCGAGTTTGAACACCATCATTCTTTACTCTCAGAGTACGACAATTGCTATAACGAAGGCCAAGCGGGAGTCCCCCTCCTCTCGTACAACCGCTATGCGAACATGTCATTCGCACTCAACGCTACTGGGCGTCCGATCCTGTACTCCATGTGCAACTGGGGCGAGGATGGGCCATGGAACTTTGCTCCAGTGCGCGCGTTCTAGTCAGGAGGTGGGACCCAAAGTACTGATGGATTTTTTCAACGTCAGACCATTGCCAACAGCTGGAGAATCTCAGGGGATATCTATGATGTATGCGCTTATTCCAGCATAATTGAACCAGTCGTGCTTACTCCTGTATTGGGTTTATAGAACTACGATCGCTTCGACGAGCGCTGTCCGTGTCTGTCGATGATCGACTGCAAGCTTGCCGGATACCGTAGGTTGCGTTCACTTACTCTTTGACCACGGACGGTTGACCGTGCATACAAGATTGCGCAATGACGCGCATAATCGATTTTGCTGCGCCAGTCGGCCAGAAGGCCGGAGTGAATCATTGGAACGACCTTGACATGCTCGAGGTTGGGAACGGCGGGATGACATATGACGAATACGGTATGTTGTGGCAATAATGGTAGCCTTGTTATATGCGATTATCTCGTCTTATTCAGTGACACATTTCTCCATGTGGGCTGTGCTCAAGAGCCCACTCATTCTTGGGAATGATGTCACCAACATGGTGCACTGTCTCTGGCATCGTCTTGTGCATCGTGGCTGATTCGCGAGATAGACCAATGAAACGCTGGAGATCATCACAAACGACGCGATCATCGCCGTCAACCAAGATGCGAATGGCTCGCCTGCCGAGCGCATGTGGAAGATCCCCATCGCATCCGGCGGCGACCTCTCGCTCTGGTCTGGAAGCCTCGTCAACGAGTGAGTATCACCTCCCAATCTTGTAGATCTTCTTCAGTACTGAAACGGCGACCTGCAGCACATATGTGATCGCCCTGCTGAATACCTCCCCAGAGACGCAGACGGCTAACGTCAGCTTCACCGACGTCTTTATCGACGAGGGCCCTTCATATCAGAATGGAACTTACGCGATCTATGACCTCTGGCAGAAGGACAGCTCCGGCGTGTGGGGCAAGGACGTCGGAACATACACGACGATGATCCCGGATGTGGTAATTGGGATGCATCAGGTGCGCGTGTGGAAGGCGGCACCGGTCTCGATGGGTAGCAGTAGGAGGAGGCGAGATGTGGGGGAGTTGTGAGGCGGTGTGTGATGCTTGGGTGATGGATCGGACTGAAATGGACTTGTGGGTGTTGCCATTGGGACGGACGGTGTTGTTATTTGGCTAGGCCATGTTATCAAATCGGGGGTGTCATATTTGAGCGGACAGCTGGTACTGTACAGAGAAAATCACCTCTCCCATTGCGCTACCACCAGCACAGATGCGTCTAGCGCGTATAACGTTAGACAATGCCGCTATCACACGACAGCACCTCGCTTCTCTCGTCCTTGTACACTGACGCCGGTGCCTCAGGCTCCCGCAACATCTGCGCAGCAGCTTAGTGAGTGCCATCCTTGCCTTGCTTGCTGCCGACTCACTATGCACACCACGACAGGTCCCTCTGTCCACGTCGGATCGTGCTCGCCGAGAACGATCGACTTCACTGTGGCGAACCCGAGTCTCGCATAGAACCCGGTTGTATACTCATTCGTGAGCAGCCAGGTGCCTCGCGAGTATTTGTCCGCCTGTCCAGACCTTTTATGAGTTTCGATGTCTATTCGATGACACTGCTATCTCTACCAGCATGGTGACGTGCTCGACCAAAGCCGACGCATATCCCCGTCCTTGTTTCTCCGGGTGCGTGGAAAGACCATTGATCTCGAAGAGCTCATTTGCTCGTTTCCCGATCGCCTCCTCGACCGCAGGCTCGAACTTCTCGCGGAACTCCTGGTGTCGCTGCAAATTACGAGACCGCACCAGTGTCAGCATGGGTTTCAATGCTTAACAGGCTACCCACGGCTAGCTGCTGCTTGGTATACGTGATTCTGAGTAGACGTAAGAATCGCTGGATCACCTGCTGTACCGCGTCGTTCACGAGTCTCCGGCGGCGCGGGACTAGGTCGCGCGCGTGCGAACTGGTGCACAGGTTCTCTCAGTTCTCGCTTCAAGGGACGTACTAATCAGGGTCCAGGATACTCGCTATATGATATTGCTGTCTCCACCGCCAACAGTCATGACTTCGTGCCTTCGCACGCCGTCTCCGGTGGTCAGGTACAATCCGACCTTGCTCCTGTACTTCCGTGCACGATTCAGGCCCGCGTCCTTGGAGAGTCAAGCAGCAAACTAAAGTCAACGAACTTCTGTTTCCATCCTGATGGAAAGTTACACACAGGGGTGTCCTCCAGATAGTGAGCCAGCGGATCATCCTTTGTGGCCAGCATCGATGCATGGACTGCATACGGTATCTCCCCTGTAGCCGATCACACTCAGAAAAATGGGACCTATGCAACGGGAACCTGTGGACGGACGAACTTACTGTACTCGAGTGGCTTGCATTTGGGACCGTGCAAGAGAGCCTTTCCTTCGTGATCCATCCAAGTTGAATCTGAGGTTTGAAAAGCGCAAAGTTCACCCTCCCACGTCCGCCTATTAATTGGGCCCTTCTGATGGGCCATATCGCTAGCCTCGTCTACGCGGCAGCATATGCCGGAACAGGACGTTATCAGTGACTGCGGCCCTTCTGACTCGTAATACTACAGGTGCTAGTACGGCGGTCCGGGGCTGCCATCACACGCGCGGCGATTGTCGCCTATCTCAATTACCAGTCGCTACGCGATCTCATGCTGGCGACCCTTGATGACAAACCATATAACGGCACCGATCTGCACAGGAACGTTTTAAGTATGCCATAGAGAGGTTACAGGCGTTGATCTGACCACATCGAAGGATGATATTTCAGCTAAATCATGCCATCGTATAGCAGCCGCAGCTCACTTCTCATCCTTGTGTACGGTGACGCAGGTGTCCGAGGTTCCCGCAGTATCTGCAGGATTCACATGTGAGTATTTTCATCTACAGTGAATTTATTGCAGCAGTGTTGCTCAAGAACGTATTATGCACAATATGACAGGGCCCTCTGTCCATGTCGGGTCATGCTCTCCCAGGGCGAACGACTCGTGTTGGACCGTGGAAAGGAGCTTTGCCTTCGGGCTTCATTGTGCTTGAAAGGGCAGCGTGATCTTCACCCTGAGGCTCCATGCTCTCATGTCAGCTTGAGGTTTTTATGAGTTTCGTCTAGCGTTTAACGATGCCGCAGTCTGTCGTGACCGAGCAAAATCAATCATTGCTGGCTCTGGCTCTCTACCTGCTCTGACTCATCGGAATAGGCGTACTAGGACAGCGACGCCTAGTTGATACTGCTGATTAAGCGTATTCGTGACCAATTCATGAGCACGTTCATCAAGAATGCGGAAAACAAGCTCAGGATGGTCTTCATATGGATATATGATGAGTCGCACCTCGCCAGAGTGCATGGATTGAGCCATAGCAATAACAGGACCACCTGTTATTAAACCGTCGTGCCGAGCGCAGGTCGGAGATTCTTATTGAAAGGGTTGGGATGATCGCTCCGTCCGCTCTTCAAGTCGCTGAGTGGTTTTAGCTCTGAGCAGCCCGTAACAGCGAATAATTTTCATCGCAGGAGTAGCCTACGTCATTTCGCACGAAATATCTGGTTCCATTCGAGATACAATCTGATCACGTTTATTGAGGAGATAGATAATGGTATTACAGCGCATCATCTCACGTCTAGTCCTTATAGACTGACGGAGGCGTCTGAGGCTCCCTTAGCATCTGCAAGGTACACGTGTGAGCATTATTGGCATTGTCAAGGCAGTACTTCAGCTAGACTCACTATGCACATTACGACCGGCACTTCTGTCCAGGTCGGGTCATCTTCTCCGACAGCGAAGGACTTGATGGTAGTGAAACCGAATTGAGCATAGAAACCAGTTGTTCTCTTATTGGTGTACAACCAAACACCTCGGCACTGTTCGTCTGCCTGTCCAGTGGTAAGACAGCATTGCCAACGAAGGTGAGTATGGTCTCTTACTAGCGAAGTGACTAGTTTCACCAAAGCGGATGCATATCCTCGCCTTTGTTTCCCAGGGCGAGTGGACAGACCGCTAACATAGAAGAGTTCTTTTGCTCTGGAGCCAATAGCCTCCTCCGTGGCAACGGTGACCTTCTGATCCACCTTTTGTCTTCGCTATGTCGTGTTCAGGCGAGTTAGCATGTCCATGGGTACGGAAACTGCATGATGACGCACCATTATCTGTTGCCTCGTGAGCATGGGTTTCCTGAGCAGCCGGAGGAAGTGGTCAATGGTCTTCCGGACGAAGCTGTTCATGACTCTCCGAAAGCGTGGCAGCAGATCGGGTGCTGACGTGCTAATGTGCAGAGCCCCCGTTTGATTCTGCTCCACTATATCGGAGTTGAACACGTACTACATGATGACAGAGTCTCCCCCGTCAACCGCCCAAGCTTCGTGCCTGCGCACGGCATCTGTGAACATCAGGTAGAGAGCAGTTCTTGTTCTTAGGTCTCTATTATTAGACCGACGACTATCCTAAGTTCCGATGAGTGATCAACGTTAGAGCCCTCTCCCGCTTCGCAATCATCAGAGGAGCCGTACCGGTGTGTCGTCCATATAATGTTTCAGAGGATCGTTGTCATTAGCCATTAGTGTCACATAGACCGCGCGAGGAACTTCCTCTGTGGCTGATTGTTCAAAGAGTCGTCAAGTAGTCGATATGAAATCAACGTACTGTATTTTAGTGGCTTGCACGTTGGACCGTTTGGCAAAGCGTTCCCTGACTCCATTGGAACCGAGCGAGCGATGTCAAGTTCAGTATACCGCACTCCTCTGCTAGTACTTATAGGCCATCCGTAGTCCTCTGAGATCGAAAACCCGTCTGCGGATGCTGCGGTGCAAACCAGCGAAAGCAGGCGCCATGCTAGCACTTGCGCATTTCCGCGTAGGATGTAGATTTGGCGGCGTCATAAATCCGCATGCGAGACTTGAATGCTGTCATGGTTCTATAAACGGGGTGAACCGAGCACATTCCTTCGCAGCATCATCTTATCAGGACAGAGAAAGGCGACGCAGTCAATGAGCCAATAATTTAGGCATAAGATGCCATGTTTGGTAGACATGACGCTGTTAAGATGACTAGCAAAGACAGTCTACAGCGCTCATTCAGACTGCGGCTCAGTTTGCATAAGGCTCATGTGCGACGTCGTCTGAACATGTGTTCCGTCACGTATCTGTGCGTGATTATATCCGCTTCAGTACAGTATTGCGACTCTGCTGGATTGCGGCTACCCCACAGACGACCTGAAGCGAAGTCGGCAGCTGCCCCGATGTACGTTGGATTGATCGAATGTGTAGTAATTGACGCCGGCGAACGCCTCGAGCATATCCCACGGGTGACGGCAGCCTGCATGGGAACCGAACAGAGCTTTCTCATCGTCAGAAAGATAATGGTACCGTGCCGAGCGATGAGACAGTTGTCGCGGTCGAGAAAACACGCTTGAGCTAGACGTCGCCTCAGCATCATTGCAGGGAGGAGTCAAAAATCGATGGACTGGTGGGCGGGCGGGAGGCACGTGAGTGAGTGCGATCGCAGGCTCCGGGAAGTTTGACGCCAGTCCCAAGTTGGTTCATACAGCACTCCATCCTCCTCGGCCGCATTCACATTTCAACATCAATTCTTCCCGTCGTTCACCCCTAGACTCTTCACGAAACTGTGCGTGGAGAATGCTTTTTGATCCTGAGACCTCAAGCGATCTCAAAACCTGGCTAGTGAAGAACCTTGAACCAATGTATGTTTACCTTCTTCCTTCCTCCCACTTCTTACCCATTGACGCGTTGTACAGATGCGACGCGGAACCTGGTGCTCTCGCAGAATATATACTTGCTCTGCTCAAGCACAACGCGCCTGAATCAGAGCTCCGAAAGGAACTGTCGGGCCAGCTGGAGGAATTCCTTGAAAAAGGTGCGTCGTCGTCGATGCTGATTCATACCTCTCATCTACTCACTGTCGCGACAGAGAATACTCCCTTCCTTGACACATTGTTCACCGCATTACGGACGAAGTCTTACATGCCTTATTCTGCTGCATCGCCGACAGGATATCCTTCGTCCAACGGCGAGGACAATGGTATTCCCATCCCGCTTGACGCTCTGCTTACTTCTTCAATCTCTACATCGCCGAGCCGGGGTCTTAAACGCAGCCTTGACCATGAAGACCACGACTCTCACGCGCCTGCAAAGGGACCCCGCACAAATGATGGCCACTTCTCGCGATATGGACGGAACGACCGTCGGTCATCATGGGGTGATCGTGGTGATCGAGGTGCCCGAATGGGCGGCGCAGGACGTGGCGATTACATGGATGGTGGTATGGGTAGGGGACCGAGTGGTACGCAGCCCGCCATTGGCTCAATGTACCTTTAGCGTTGACCTTTCTTTTCCAGGTCATGGCAGGGGGATCTGCAGGGATTATTACAGTACGCGTGGTGGTATAAGTTGATCCTATTGCACTGCTGATTGCTTTTCGCACTACATAGACCACGGATACTGCGCGCGAGGAGCGTTCTGCAAGTACAGTCACGGCGACGACGCGGTTGTTCCTTCGCAATTATTCCCCATGGCTGGTCCCATGGGTGTTGGGCCGCTGCCCTTCGTCCCGATGCTCCCAGGAGCAATGCCATTTGGCATATCTGGCGGCTCAAATGCAGCGTACGATCCTCGCGAGCGCATGGATATGCGACCAGTGCAAGGAGCTGGGCTGGACGTGGGCGACCGGCCAATCAATGCTCGCGCGCCTATGGTCCCACGAGAGCGCGGTGCCGGCAGTCCTACAGCACCAAATCTTGGAGAGCTCCCTGCGATGCAAGACCTGACCGGTGATATGGGAGGGGCCTCCGGCGGCGACATGAATGGAAGCAGCGGGATGATGGCCATGCAGGGCATAGAGATGACGGGCGCGCCCGCTTTACCTAATGGACATGGTCGAGGTGGATACCGGGGAGGAAGGGGTGGTGGCGGTCGTGGCGTGTTCGGCGGAGAGGTGCAGAACTTCCGACCGGACAGACACACTGACAAGACGCTTGTGGTGGAGAAGATTCCACAAGATAAGCTGAGCCTGGGCGCGGTGAACGAATGGTTCAAGCGCTTCGGTAATGTCACGAACGTCGCCGTCGACGCGGCGAATGGGAAGGCGCTGGTCAGCTTCTCAAGCCATGCCGAGGCGCATACTGCATGGAGATCGAAGGACGCAGTCTTTGACAATCGGTTCGTCAAGGTGTACTGGCATAAGCCAATGGAAGGCCACGGACAGTTAGGTGCGCGTATGCTAGCGGCATCCGCACCCTTGATGGCGAACATTGCCGCCCGAGAGACTGCCCCTACCACTATTTCACCAGAGTCATCTACCACCCAGCCTGCACCTTCCACACCTACACCCATTCGCAAGTCCTCGACACCATCTGCAGCCGCGGCATTAGCTGCGAAACAACGACTGCTCGAGCAGCAGATCGCCGAGCAGAAGTCGCTCATGGCGAAGCTCGGCACTGCATCTTCGCAGGAGAAGAAAGAGATCATGGCACGATTGCGGAAGTTGGGTGAGGAGATGAAGCCCTTGGCAACGCCTTCACCGGCCACACCGCCCGCTAGTGCAGCAACGGCGAAGTCAAGAGGTATTACTCCCAGCGCGGACGAGAAGGAACGGCTTGAGCGAGAGCGACTCGACAAGGAGCTGGAACTGCACCATGCAGTGAGTGCTGCTGAGGGGGAAATGGAGGAAAACACGGAGGAGCTGAAGGCAACCTTGGCCAAGCTCAAAGCAGAGGTGTGTGACTGTATTTCCTCCTGAGTTGGCATCCAATTGACGATGCCTTCATAGGCTGCGAGCCTCGGCATTACCGACGTCTCGGATGGAGCATATAGTAGCGGCACCACGTATCGGCCATATAGAGCTCGCGGGAGAGGTCGGGGTATGCGTGGGGGCTACCGAGGTTTCATGCGTGGCGGTCCTCCACGAGGAAGCATGAAGCTTGATCTTCGACCGAAGACGCTGCTGGTCAAGAATGTCGGCGCCGGTGCTGAGCAAGCTGTACGGGAGTGGTACGAGGTAGACCATCAAGGTTCTTGTTTGCGGCGATCTCAAGCTGACAATATATCTGTGACAGACGATGGGCCAGGTTGAATCAGTGGATACGACAGATGATGGAGATGTGCTCGTTGCCTTCAGGTCTAGAGCTGCTGCAGAACAGGTACGCTGTGTGGCTTCACTCCCATGCATCGAAATCTGCTTGAGCTATATCGACACAGGGCTTAGCAAAAGGCACGAACATTCCGTCAATTGGTCAGGTCCGGATTTCATGGCACAATAATCAGCAGACGGGCGCTGCAGCACAAAAAACATCGTTACAGCTTCCAGAGGGATCGTCGCCAGTGGAGGACAGAATGGTCACCGAAGACCGCCCTCCGTCTCCGGCAGAAACGGACGAGGCTCAATATCAGGAGGAATCCGCTCCTGCATGGGCCGGTGACGATGCGGATGGATTTAGAATGCTTTGATTGCGAGTCATTTGGACATCTTGCTGTCCCTCATTTCTGTACAATGCTTTTGCGACTCCACAAATTCATGATCACGGAAGATAGTGCTCCTGACGGACACTACAAAGATGCTACTGATGTGGCCTACTTTATTCTCACTTCGTGGCCCATCACACTGCACACATGAAGGCGTTTGTTACCATTGCAAATGCTCTGCAAATGTGTTCTGAATCTAGAGTGTGACCTATGCAACACTATGCCCTAATCAGGGAGATCCACATCCCAAAGAGGCAATTAATTACAATTTAGTGTCATTAATAACATAAACGCAAATGCCTACATGTGTGCAGTGATTGTAAAATCAGGCATGATATATGTTGGCATCAAGTCGGCAGGTGAGCAGGGATGAGGAAATGCCAAGGTGATGGCACGATTTTGCCTGACAGGTACTTTGAAACCAACCCGAGCAAGGGATGTGGACTGTGACCACTACGCGTCGTGATCGAGAACGCGTGAAACGCGTGGACTGCGAGTGGCTAGTTGCCAGTTTCGATCCTCGTTCAAGGAGGCTGTATTCCCAGCTCCTCTACAGCACCGGAAAATCTGTGCATCATGGCAAAGAAACGAAAATTGCAAGAATCGACGCCCGAGCCAGAGGAGCCTGAGGAACAATACCAAGTCGGTATGTGTGGCCTCGTTTAACATGACATAACATGTTACAGACCCTTGGAGTCATCAGAGGTCATCACGCGCGCGCGAGTGAACAAGGGCAAGGGTTGGGTAACTCTATCTGTTTGACGGCCCATCTTGGTTGATAACGAACGTTTCCAGGAATACTTCGTCAAGGTCAGTAGGATCAGTGCTGCTGCACAGCCTCACAGGTGATCTCGTCCGATCGCTGTAACTATCATAGTGGGCAAATTATGATTCAGACAGCAACACGTGAGTGCTTGACTGCTGACCAGTCTATATACTCTTTGAGCAAGCATACCAGGTGGGAACCTCAAAAAAATCTGCTCGGATGTGAACGTCTCTTGGACAGCTTCTGGGAAAACGTGGGCCGCGACAACGGAGACTATCCTATAGGCCATACTGTTCGTGCCACTCCCTCCTGGATCAGTATGTGTTACTGCCCGTCTTTCCTCACCTCCATTCCGACTACTGCGTGTTTCAGAGATAGAAAAGCAATACTTTGCTAAACGTTTGGGCTCAGAGGCCCTGCGAAGTGAGTCAAAGAGCAGTGACGAGACTCGACAGCCTGAAAGTAACGATGTGCAAAAATCATCAACGGTATGGACGTCTGGCTCCCCTTTCTCGACATGACCCTCAACACTTCTTCATATGATTCGCAGAAGAGACAAGGTCAAAGCAAACGAGCCTCCAATGCTGAATCCTCCACGTCTCATACGCCGAAAACTTCTAAGAAGAAAAAGTCGGTGAAACTGGGCAAACGTCGTGCGATACAAGAAGTATAAGAAATGACATTCTCCTTGTTTCGCTTCTCCTTGACATGTCATAAACACTCAGGATGAATCTGACAACTCTGACACTGTGACGCCTTTGAAAATTCGAAGACACAGGAAGAAGCGTGCTGTATCTGTAAATGGAGAGGAGGTGAGCTGCTGCCGCAACGCCCGATGACCGTTTGCAGTCTGAACAGGTAGTGACAGTCTGAGAGCTCAACCGGGATGCCTCTACGTAAAATGCGCAAGGTAGCCCTTACATCTGGAAAGGGATCGTCCGATAAGCTGGATACTGGCCAGGTATTGTGCTTTGTTCGTCTGCCGTAATCAATGCTCACGACGGTATCCTGCAAGAACAAGGGAAAAGGAAAGGCTATCGCGGTTCCGGATTCCTCATCAAGCGATGAAGGAGAGAAGAGTTCCGGGTGCCATTCATTGTTCTCGGCACCATCCTCTCCAGATGTACTGTTGAAAGATTTGGCTCCTGCCATTCCGGCGCATCAGCCCCCGAATCCAGAGGCTGCGCCTCAGAAACAGCCGTCGGCTTCGAGCAGCACCCTGTCGAAGCCTCCGGAACGATCGAACGTCCAAGAACCGTCCATCAAGACCAAAGAAAGCGGCGCTGTCATGGGCATGCCGACCAAACAACGTGTCGCACAGGCAGCCACAGTCTTTGTGGCAGTATCGGAGCCATCGACTTCTTCACCCTTTAAAAGCAAATTCCCCAGTTTTTCTAAGAAGACTACCGATACAAACAACATTGTGACTGCTTCTGCTCAAGAGAAGCAGTCGCCAACCAGGCCTGCTGCTGCTCGACAGTCCTCGAACAGGACGTCGACTGAGTCACCAATGGAAATCACAACTGATTCTGCCAATTTCGTTCAATCTCCGGTCTCCATTTCGGACCGCTTGCCTTCAGTGGAACCTCCACCTGCAGAGTCAACTCGTGTGAAAGAGACTCAGTCAAGGTAAATAGGCTGTGCTTACGCCAATTGCTACTGAGAGGATGGTTTTCAACATACTTAATATGTAGGCCCGAGCCTCTACCACTACCACGTCGCCACAATATGCCCGAACAGCCATCTGCAGGGCCATCGAATGAGGTTGATCGGTTCTTATCAAATATCATGCCCGATGTGTAAGTGGTTGATCCGTCGTCCGTGGGTTGTAAAGCTAAGGAGGTTGACATTACAGTCTTGCGGCGCCTATGGTGTAAGTCGTTCATCCTACAGAAGACAGCGTCCTGAGATCTCTTGCAGGGAATCTGACAGAGAAGGTGCATTAGGAAGACCTTCCCAAAAGGCTTCGTTGTTCAAGAAGCTGCCGTCTCTCCCAAAGTCAGTGCTAATGTATTGTACCGTAAACGGTCTGCTGATGCGGTTGTATATGCATGTAGGATTCCCAAGAAGTGGAGATGGTCAGGCGAACTGCACGTCAATCTGGACTCAAGTAGAACGAAACGTCTATGCAACGTCGAATTATCGGATGCTAGCGAGCCTCAGCCCAGCGGGCTACGCTTCAGTCTTTGCCTCAATGACGTCGATTCTCTGACGATGAAAAAACTTCATGCCATCTCGGATCTTTCTATGATTCTGCGGGCTTGCGGCATGATCCAGCAATATGCGAAACTAGGGCCTCAAACCCCGGAGGATGTGGGTTCGATCACGATACTCGCCACGCACATGAGGCGAAAGCGGATAGTAAGTGCTGGTCTAGTTAATCAGGCGACGTCAGCAACTTAGACCCGTGCGCGATGACAGTTCACGTACGCTCATCTCGACTTGGATGGACAGAAAGCAGCGTTGTTGTTGATGTTTCCGCCTTCAAACAAAGCGCTGTCTATGCTCTTCAAAGTTCCAAATGATTATGTAGACAACACCCAGCTCATGGTAGTTCTAGTTCCTTGGGAACTGCCGCGTCACCAATACGAGAAGGCTTCTTGGTTCAAACCGCGGGTCGCTCCCTCAAACGAAGGGTCATCGCAGGCAAAGCTGATCAAACAGCTACGTGGGGCCGGTCGCAGGTTCGGCGGCAATCGTCAACTTTACCGAGCGCTCTATGTCCTCAAGTTTCCTCGGAGTGTTATTGATTACATGTCTTGGCCAAAACGTCCTTACTGCGTCTGGCATACTCCAGGAGATGGTACTATGGCTGAGCCTGGCGCGCAAACAGCAATGCTGCGTGCTGTTCTGGAGGCTTACACAGCTGAAGATGTCGGATACAAGAAGGATGTCCGAGCGATCTTCATCCATGTCGGAGCCCTTGCGTCATTTAACGCGTTCCCCGCGCTGGCTGAACGACGGTCCAAGCGGCCGGACATTCAATTCTACACGTATGGGACGCACGAGAGTATATCACCAGAACGGTGGGGCATCCGTGAGATTTACCTATTCGGTAAGTGCGCAGGTTTCCTATGAGCACCAGGCTCATTCTACACAGGAGGTGTCGTAACGTTCACTCCATCTGCCGTCCTGGAAGACATATTCGGATGTTACGATTTGATGAGAAAGATCAATGAGCATCCTTTGTGGCACTGTTACATTCTACCCTCCGTTGTTACAATGCTCGCGAAGTTCACCTGTCAAGGGCAAAATCCTGTAACCTTGCTTGATAAGTGCGTACTTCGATACGCGGCATCGCCGAGGGTACTGACAGAGGTGTGACAGAGGGGAGTTCCTGCTGGATGGTCTTCTGAAACTCATCGAGAATGGGACGATCTCGCTTCTTCAGGCGCCTGCAACAGGGTTGGACTTTTCTCATGGTCAAATTCCAACGGAGGAGTGGCTTTCGTGGCAGATGAGCTTGCTGAGCATGAAAGCTCGCGATCTGCTCGAGGAATGCATCAGAGTTGCTTCCACGCAATACACCAATGTCCGAGAGCACGAACTCCAGGAGGCTATCCAGAAAGAGATTGCTCGGGACATGTGGTCAATGCAATTGCAGCCGATCATCATGGACAAATACAGGCGTCTGGTTGTGGTGAAAAGCAGAACCGATCGGTATTTCCACGAGGACAGGGAGGGTGTAAGTGATCATCATATCTGTTCGTGGCACCGATCAGGCTCACAGCAGTGCAGATCGAATGTGTCTTGCTCAAAGGTTTCGACTTCAAGGATGATTACTACCCGAAGCAGACGGATGCTGCAGCATGAGCCCTCCAGCGATAGCTCGGCACCGTTTGGCCAAGTCGTTTTTCGAGTTGGATTTATCGATTGGCATGGCAACCTACTAACCTTTGTCTGTTCTGTACCGCTAGTGTCACGATGTGTTCGTAGCAGCTTATGAGAATGTAGTGGATGTGATTTCAATCGCTGGCGGGTAACGTGTTTGCTCGGGTAGTCAGGCCAAAACGCGAGGTGGCCACCGGACTGAAGTGTGCTTGTGATTTAGCAGCGGCGGGTTATCACGTGGGCCGGCTTCCCCATGAGCGTATACTGCCGCCACACGCGCCTTGTCAAGTACTTGCAGGCAGATCCAATTGAACTGACATTGGGGTCAGGACACGGTTTGCCTCTTCGTCACTGTACCTCATAATGTCTGCTCTCGCCGCCGTACTAGCCGATCCTGCCTATCATGACTACCTCTCAATCATCAAGGGAGCTCGCAATGGCTTCGTTTATGGCGTGAAAGTGCGGTTTCCGCATGCGCTCATCATGGCGATACTGTTCGGACGTGGCGAGTCAGTACTGCGTCTACGGCCGGTTGATATTGCATTCTGACGAGCGGCCAGCTGGAAGACTCGCTTTCGAGCGATATATCGCGCGACCAGACAACACGCGTTGAATCTTGCCAAATTCGTGTCATTGTACAAAACAGTTCTGCTGGTCCAGAAAAAGCTGAATGGCGGCGTACAACGCAGTGCGGACACGTTTATTGCCGGACTCGTTACGGGCTATGTTGTTTTCGGTGACCGTAATGCGGTCAACGAGCAGGTGTGTATTTTGGCAAGGTCCGTTTTACTGAAGCTCAAGTTGTTCCCAGATCGTGCTATACGTCTGCTCACGGGTCGTGGCATCCTTCATACCCCGTGCTGCTTCACCGTACTCCATGAGCTCTGCCAGCAGTTCCGTCGTGAAGCCGGTTCCTCCGGATGCCCGCAAATTCTCGATATTCGCGGCGCTTTGTTGGGGAGCGGTCATGTGGCTCTTCAACGAAAGAGGCGAGACGATCCAGCCCGGGATGTTCCATTCCATGGTGTACCTGTACCGTGATTCGGAGCACTGGAACAGTCTGCGGACGCTCCTCTGGCATAACAAGTGATACGAGATTGGTCTGTAGGGCTATAAATGAGGTTCTTCCTATTGGATGCGGCATAGGTGTGAGTTATACCAAGTTGCTTTCTGCGATCTAGTTGCGGATTACCTCCTCTCATAATTATTAGCATAGGTGTTGCAGCCAGCTATCCCTGTCATGTAGACGTCTCCGATTTTTCAATCTTTCAATTGGAATCATTAGTTCATCCGTCACAGATGATTCTATCAATGCATCGTATGGTATACGACCCATTAAACAGCCCAGTCAATGCGCGAACGAGGTCAAGCAACTCATATGTGATGGTCACCGCAACAATCACCGGATCTTGCTCGACAGCCTGGTGCATAGATATGTGTCACCATTACACCGGTATGCTGGACGTAGATTCTCCCTCAACGCTCTACGAGGTGCACTGGCTCGTCAGAAGTTCGTAACCACGTATCTCCTGCGGCATGAGAGGTTCACGAGGCTATGCCCCACTGCTTTCAGGATGAGCACAGCGGAGAAACGTCGGATGACCACATCTATAGAGATGGACGTGCTAAAGCTGTGTTCGGTTTCATCTCCCCGGAAGCATCGCGTTGACGCGTTATGTGATTGCGTTTGTGGCAATGATGATGTCTGGGAACACTGCATGAAGCGAACGGGCCTATGGGGTGAGGTATCTACATCCTAGCTTGCCTCGATGAGGTGCGACAGAGGAAAACTAGACATCAAGCTTTGAAGAGCATACTTCTTTATTTTGTAAGATCACTCGTATGACGCCACCTACCACGAGGACGCATGCAGAGCACCTAGCTACACGGCCCGATCAGTGGGTGCGCACATGCTAACGCCAAGTTGTCGAATCACACACTGAAACGCGGAGCAGACAATCATTAGCCCGATGATAAAAACGCAGTGAATGAATGGCGGCGTTACCCTAACCATTCGAGGCAGTAAGCATAGTATGATATTCCGTCAGAATGAACTATGCACAGCGTGGTGAGGTCGTCGTGAAGTCGGTGATATGTAACATCGTGAAGCAGCCGGATCTCGAGCATGACGGTGTGTACCCAGCAGCGTAACCAGACGTAAAAGAACCCAAATGAGAAGAGAGAAATGGTATCATGAGATGAGGTAAGTAGGAAGAAGTGGGTCAGTTCTATATGAGTCCTCGATGTGCCCCTACATGACAATACACTTCATTTTCTTCTTCCCCTCGTTCGGTGGTCGTGGTGGACCTTGCACGCCTTGCTCCTGCTGCTTTGTTTGCCGTAGTAGCCGGATGAGGTCCACGAATAGCCGTTCTACATTGGTCGCGTGCTTGGCTGACGTCTCGAGGAAATCGCATCCGAAATTCCGCGCGAGGGCTGCGCCCTCTTCGCGCGACACCTCCCGTTCGTACTGTTTATCGCACTTGTTGCCGACGAGCATGAAGATCGGCTTCTGTCGCTTCACTTTGAGCATTGCTTGTCGGAACACGTCTAGCCGCTCGAATGTCGCCCGCGATGCGATTGAGTAGACCAAGATAAATCCCTGGCCTTCCCTGATGGCAGTCACTTCATTTGTCGCAGTCGCGGACTACACAATCAACGCACCTGACCCATTGGTCACGCAATGTCGCGTATTCCTCTATTATAGAATGCTCATGAGCTCCTGAAGCGTGGTAGTGCACTATGATACGCGCCTTGGCCCGCCGTGTCAATTACTTCAACGAAGCACATCCGCCGATCAACCACTAGTTGCTTGCGGTATGCATCTTCTATCGTTGGATCATAAGTCTGCGAGCACACAGCCATTAACATCCGACGGGACGGTTACGAAGGCGCAACAAACCTCTGTAGGCAGGTAGAGTCGTGAGTCAGTTACGGAGTGGTTTGCTAACCTGACATTAGCTTACCAACAAAACAACCGAGCGTGAACTAAGGCACATATCAGCATACTAGTCGTGTATTTAAAGTGTCCATGCACTGACCTGGACAGCCAGTGCCGTCTTTCCTACGCCTCCGTCACCGAGGACGGCTACTCTCCAGCTATCCATGTCTATGACCAGCTGGCATGAGGGTCAGTGGCAGGGGTGAGCAGCAACGGTACACACCTCGAAAGAGCAGAAAGAAGGGTTGAGAATACGCAAGTCTATGGTTACGTGCTCAAGATCGGACGGTTCGTGCGAGTCCGTGTGGCACGAACCTTCAAATGAATGCCTAGCAGCGGGCGTCGAAATGGGGGAGCGTCGCGGACAATGGACTAACTGAGGCGCGCGGACGATGGGAGATAATATAAGGAGATCTGAACGTCGTGCAAGTTCGTGCAAGGTCGTAAAGAGGATGGCCACAGAGGAGCCTGAGCCTGAGTGTTGGAGGGAGACGTAGACAGAGAACGGAATAGCCTTTGCACCGGAAGCGCCGTCCCCCCAGGTATTTCTAGATATTGTAAACACAGCCCATTTTTGGTCCCGTTTCCGGCTGGAACCGACCGTGTGATGCATTCCTTTTCAAGAATTAAGAGACATATACTCTAGGACATTCTGTGCATATTTTGGCCCAAAGTCGCGCGCGTCTGAATATCACGGTCAAGCGCACCCTGGGGGCGTCTGCCGTCCGTCTTCTCCGACATATGCTCCCTCTCTCCTCCCACTCCCCCCACCCTTATGTACTTCCGCGATCGGACATCTCCGACGGTAAACAAGGTACAGATATGTCAGTCCCAGGCACAATATCATGTCCACGCAGGCCCCGTTTCTCCATCTGCTGAAATGCTCCAGAACGCCTCCGTGCGGATCACACACGCAGCTCCGGCACTTCGCCGGGTTCCTTGCGAATGACGCCTTCGTCCTGCGCTGTTCACATCAGTCAACGCCGACGACATATGTATAGATGGCAACAGCGCACCGGCAGCGTCAGCCCCGACATCTGTGCACGCACAGCTTCGTACGCGTGTTCGGTGCAATTGTGCTTACTGTTTGGACTCCCATGAAGGTCCCCGCTCATGCGACACGAGTCATATCCTGTGATAGTTACAATTTGACCGGGGGTTTTCAAATCTCAACATCGCCACACACACGGAACGAGACGGTGGTTCTGCACGATTCGAGACGGCTCTTGGCCGGCAAGTATAGCATTGGCATCGTTTTGCCGTGGGCGGAGGTTCCGAGGGATAGCGCGTACGAGGTATTGGACGCTCACATGCACACATGCCACGTCTCATGTCATCGATGCGATACACTCGGCGTTCTGATATTGTCTCGGCTAGTGATGGCAGCAGAAGCTGTTATGCCTCCTCATTTCGGTACGAGTGATGTCTTGACTTTTGTATGCATGGGCGGATATTATTAATGAAAAACAGCAGGCCAAGGGTGTCCATTGTGTTCCTGGGCATGACCGTTGCTGCGTCGTCGCATGTAGCAATCTGTCCTGTGGCCAAGATATGATAGCTAAAGACCATTGGCGGAGTGGCAACTTAATCAATCACCGGGGGTATAGATCTCATTTACTTGCCATCCTTATTGGGCCTCAGCTCATCACGGAGGCCAGCCAAATGCGGACATGGCAGGCCTCGTGAAGGCGATTGAATTGCTCTGATATTTAACGACTCTGAATATGAACTGTCGGAAAAGACAGAGAGCGCTGTAATGGCAATAGCGTCGACTATGAGCAGCTAATTGTCTTCAACAGACCACGCTACTTGGCCACGACTCCTTGAAGCTTTCCGCTTACGCGAGTGGTCAGAGTGAACCGAGTGGACTTAAGGTTGTTTCTTGCATAATGCAACATGCCGTCCTCGTTTTGAGCTAGCTGACACCGCAGGAATTCCGGTGGAAGTGTGCGAAGGGATAGAGCCCTACTTCGCTGAACACGGGCAAGTCATGCATTCTCCACGCCTGGGGATAGTTCGCGTATGCTGTTTCTGCGTAGAAGTGCAAAAGTTCATCCTATTACGAGGGCGTCATAGGGGCATGCGGAGCGGCGCGCGTTGAACGTTCCATAGAGCAGCAATATATACCATTGTAGCATGCCTTGCACGCAAATGCACACGTAAGGAAGACGACATCCGACTGTCGGTCGGACCAAACTTAGTGCACCTGTAGCTCCGCCAGTGAATGAGGGCGTCAACAGAATGTGAGCCTTTCACTCGCGCGCTACCGAATGGCGACCGACCTCGAAGGAGCCTATCTTGCTGCTCGCTGCCTCCTAATTAGGATCGCGATAGGTCCAGTCGACCCCTCTGCCCTGGCTGTTCTCTCGGGCGGTGTGGTACAGAGAAGACAGTTCGCGTAACTTCGACCTGGATCGTGACCGGCCCGCAGCACATGAACGAAGCCGTTTGCCAATTGTGCTCGCGTATGCAAGAACGTCCCAAGTGAACCATCCCGCGCGTTGCCGAGCCGGGTATGCGCATTACGCATGTTCCGTGATCGAGGTAAACACGATCGTACTTTTCATTTACGCCATCCCCGGAATTTCATTGTTAGAACATCGTCCGCAATTATCTACAACAAAGGTCCATTCAAATCCATCAGAGTCGTATCCTGCGCTGCTGTTCATCTAACACTTGCAAAGCCGATGGACAGGCCCACGACGTATCATCGATGCTTCTTCAGACCACACAATTAAACGTGTCCTCGAACGTGTCCAGTCACCGTCCACACCACTATATCCGAGCAACCCGCATAAGGCTGACTGGACAACCCGTCTTTCGAATGAATGCGGGATGAATCTTCTCATTCGGGGTCGCTTGTCACGCTCGCGCTCCTGAAGATGCATCTAGTGTTCACAAGTTGTGCCAGAACGCTCGACGTGCTCCACACGGTGATTCTCAAGAGATGCCGACAGAATACACCGAGGGCACAAACTGTCCCATTCAGCATGTCCTCCACGCGTCCACGCGGTTTCGACCACCTTGAAGAACAGAAGTCCCGATGTCTACGGGGACTCCAGTCATCGACCGCCTTGGGAGCGAAGTCATCATCTAATGGTACCGGGGTTCCTTCCTTCCGTGCCGATTAGTCCTAACAGTCGTAACCGCTGACTAGTCCGGAGAGTACAAGTGGGCCCACCAAGCCGCTGATGACGATACCCATCAGGCTCCAACTCTGACCTCGCCGCGCCAGATAGAGGTGATCACACCGTCACGACACATATTGACCACAACAACGTTCGCGGTGCAAGCCACGTCTGTGAAGGTCCGGACATTGCATTGGTTAGCGGGCACTTAATCAAATTGTTCATGCTGGCACCCAATCCGTCACCCTTTGTTGTTGCAGGACACTCGAAAGAGCCATTCTCATTTGCTGGAGTTTCCCACCTCCGTCGTCAAGTATGGTCAGCGCAGTTTTAAGTTTGGTCTTCGTCAGCACCTTCGATTGAACCTCCCCTCTTTTGCTTTTGGCAGCCGTTTTCTTGTGCCCATGTCCGACCGCAGTCGCATGCTAGGGCTCGTCCTTTTCGAGATGCTTAACGGCCATGCGACCTTTGAAGGCTAGGCGCGTCTAGCTACCCAGCAGAACGTACTCGCTTCTTGCGCCAGCATCATAGGATCCCAGCGGCTCGGAACGGCGCAGCGCCCAAAACGTGAGCGCGGCCAACTCCCTTGTGAGCTGATCAACATTCATCCTCAGTCTTATCAATCGTGACAAGCGAGCACCTCAAATTGCTGCGATCCGACGCCGTTCCGCGGCCCCGTCGAATGCACCAACCGAAGCCTCCAGACGTTTCGCTCTCGGCCGGGGAGCTCGCCGTTTCTGCGCCTACAGTCCCACAGTAAGCTGGCGCTACATTCTATTGTTACTCTCAACAATTAAAACCACTCATAGCGAGCATCTCCGTGCTATTATGCGAGCCACGAACCGGCCATGCCGTGTTTATCGGATAGACGTGCGTCCAGTCCGAGTCCTCGCGCCTCAGTTTCTATATCGATCTCACTTATTGTTCTCAGACAAGCAATCTGAAGGCGCCACCGACGCGATGACCGGAAGCTGGGCTGCCTCGCAGTGTCTTCACATGCTCGTATGATCATCTCCGATTAATACAGGAAAGCCTTGCTTGAGGTCCGCTACGCACGGCCTCCTTGTTCCCCTTCTCCCCCCTTTTCCCATCCAATCCGTGCTACGCAGTCCTCTCCGATCCCCACCGACAACGTCATTGCTACCACGGCATTTTATGTAACAAGATCACTGCATAAAACGTTCGTCGCAGCTCACAGCAACAGCTGAAATCCAGTGGCTGCCGAGAACAGGCGTGTCTTTCCGGCTGCCAATGCTATCGAGTCTATGTTGTTGTTCTGTGTAAGGCGACTTTTTTTCTTGATAATTAATCAGTCCCTTCTCACAGTCTTTGACCGTCCGTGCTCATTCAAGGTCTTATCGTTGTACCATGTCGTGGCAAAGCAGGCTTAGTCGGCCTGGATGGTTGCTGGACCCAGCCTTTGTGAGGATGGAAGTATACCGACGTGTACCTGCGAGGCTGCCATTGTTTCCGCAATTTTTTTCGCACTCCATGACGAGTCAAGACATATCGATCCTTGTCCCTCCCATCGCGCCGACCATGTACGGATAATGTCAAACAGACTCAACTTCTGCGGTTGACAAGGCTCGGCTAACGATAATTCGACACGCGGGCATCACGTATTAAATACCCTTCTGCAAGCTCGGTATCTGTTCCAGAGCCTTTCAAGCGATGCCTAGTGCATAATTCCGCTACGACACGACACGGGATACATGCTCAATATACGCTTAAGAAATTATCCTAGAGCCTTGCAAGTAGGAGTGGCAAACATACAAATACGTCATCCGGTATGCCCGCGCGGGGACTACGGCGACTGGCAAGGAAGCATACAGCTTACGGAAAGGCTTACCGGGGGACGAGTAGTTGCACTTTCGTGAGCGTGATGACGCTACGGTGGCTCTTGCGTTCGATGGTGGGGCCGATGGCCATTCTAATCCCGCATTGGAAGCGAGACATTTAGCTTCCGCAAGATCGTCCCACAGGTTAGTACCCCAAACATCAAATACGACACAGTTTTGCGTGGGCCTGCAGGCGAACGGCTTCGCTTTTCGCTTCGGTGGAAGTAGACTCCATTTCGATCATTGGCGTTCTCCGTGTTGCCTCGCTGGTCCGCGTAACAGGTCCGGTTTGTGAGGGGCGAGTATCTCCACCGGATCATCATCATGCATCATCAAAAACCGTTCTTGCCTGCCTGCAGGATATTACTCATATCAACCCGCTTTCAAAAATGGACGCATTTCTTCGGCGACTCCACCGCAAGTAATGCTTAATGAGCCCTCCCTCGATGGATCGGCCAATCAGCAAAAGAAGCTCATCTCCGTCCGGCGGTGATCACTGATCAGAAATCGCGGACGAGGACTCTGCGCCGCGATTGAGTCTCACTGCACATCCTACGCGATCCTGTGATTGATTACATATGCTCGGTACCTCCAATACCTCATTTTGCAGTGTTTAAGCTCTAGCCGGCACATTCCGATGCTCATCCAAACGTTGCATCCTCAGACTATACTCTAGTAAGAAGGAGATCATCCATCTCCTGTATCGTCTGCGGTAACCCATAGATGAAGACCCTTTCAAGAATCCGGAGCAACTTGTTGTCCATAGCTGGCACGGGGCTGGGTCCGACATTCCCTCGTGAACAGCACCATGAATTACGAAGCTTTCTCACCATCCAACGGAACATATGTAAGCGTTCGCGGGTTGTAATCCATAGGATACATCGACATTGCTTTTTCAAGCTCTAAGCTCAAGCTCATGTATTGTGCATTGCGCCGACAACGTCGGATTTCGGGTGAACGTGTCTTCGCCTGGGATTTCCCGCACCGCTTGGCAGGCCGGCGATGCCTCGAAAGAGCATCCAACGTTCAAGTTCAAGGTTCACATGATCCACGGAGTATATGCGATGCAAATATTATGTGTAGTACGTATGCGCGTATGAACGCCGTATGGAGGAAGCACATTCGAGCCGCCATTGTAAAAGACTGATATGAAACCTACTCGTACAGGTACATGACTACAGACCACACCCCCAGTGAAGTTTCTGGAATTATGACATGCCCTCCCAGAAGGAGCGTTGAACGGTGAAGTGAAAGCTATGGAAGGGCTTTGATGAACGGAAAGGGATACGCGTAGCGGTGCACAGAAGCGAGTAAGCTACCGGACATCGCATGCAAGTCCATCTATACAACGGACTCCTGATGGAGAACGGGAAGACCGAGGAATACATAGAATAAAAAGTGAAAACCGGGTATATGCGACACCTGCAGGCAAAGCAACGTTAAACAGGCGGCTGGTGCAAACAGTGACATTTCCGTGCTGAACAGACCTCTAATCATCCCTTCAATCCTGCCGACTGAACTCCGCCTGGGTGAGGTTCAAGACAAACGCGCATTTCACATTTGCGGGAGGCTCGATGAGTTTGATGGTCTTCTTCTCCCCAGAGATGCCTTTTCGTGCTGCTGTGCCGGGCAGCACGTTGGCAATGGATGGGAATGGCCGCAATGGTCGCGATGTGGGGAATGCGGGCGCGTTCAACCGAGTGTTGCGTGTTGGTCGCGAAGGACCGTTGGCAGCAAGTGGTGACGAGACATATGGCCTGACTACAGACGATTTGAGGCCAGAGGGTCCTGCAGACATGGTCATAGTGGCTAGGAGAGGCATAGTCACACGTTCAGTCTGGATCCAGAGAACATGATAGTGAGCATCGCTCACCCATTTTGGGTCCTGGTGGAAAAGGCGGGCTATTTAGAGGATGTTTGAGAGGGCGTCGAGGAGGAGATGTCGAGAGAGTGCGCGAGGAGTATCAGTGGATCAGAGAGTGGCGGAGAGCATAGTAAGGAGCGTATGTATGCGGGGGATCGTATAAGTAGGACGCCACCTGCGACGTCAAACCCCAGCGACTTGTCCCCAGCTCGGCCGGCGTGCCAAATAAACTCGGGACGGATAAACAACGCGTCCCGTCACGCGTCGCTCCGTCGGTCAGCCCTTCGGTTTTCTCCGTCTTACCCTCCCCGCGTCCTGCTTCTCGCCGTCTATCTCGCCCACCTCTCTCGACGCCGTCCTCTCCGACCATGCCCGGCGCCGGCTCGCCTATCCTTGACGACCGTGAAACAGGCACAGCGAGTCTGGCCGCCACATCGAATTGATCCAAGGGTCAGTGATGCGATGAGTCGCACAGCACCCTTGCGCCGTTCGCAAACACACAGGACACGTCTGCGGATGCGAGCTCAGCCAGGCTGTGACGGACGTGACAGGGTACGGTTTCTTCCCCATCTTCTGTCGACTCGGAGTAAGTGGCTGACACCGAATAAGCACTCCCCAACGTCTTCGTTAAGCTCTAATTTAATACGGCTGTGTTGGGGATCAGGGGGATCAGTGAAGTAGTCTCGCTCCATTTGTCTTACGGCGCTGGCTCGCGCTGCGTGCTCATTGCTTACTTCCCGCGGCATCAATCACGCTGATGCGACCGGCCATCAGTTCATCTGTCACTATTCAGCGCAATCCAGTCCATGTCTCAGCGGGTGAACTCGTTCACTGCTTGCTCATACTATCGAACAGCCCTAAAGAAACCGATGGTGATGATATACACGTCATAGGTACTGCCTATGTAAGTAGTATTCATAATACATGGACTACAGTTCCGGCGATACGGTACAGCAATTGCGTGCGCGAGATAAGAGTTAAGTGACGAAAGCAGCTAATGGGGCTAATGCGAATGGTCGGCGAGTATAGCTCTATAGCAAACAAAGTGATGAAGAAAGAAAGGGGGTGGGGGTAGGGTGCGAGCGCAAGATTCAGCGGGATACCTATGCGGCTCCAGGAGAGAGTGAGTCAATCCCGAATATGTACGGCTGTGCTGCAGTACCAGTGATACGCTGGAGAGAACACATCCCGCGAACGCTCGCAACGTCCTCGCCAAGTCACCGCAACCCCACTTGCGGATGAGAGTTCCCGACCATGAGCGTAGGATCGCGCCCAGCGAGACGCTACATTATTCCCTAGGTGTGTGTGTCCGTTGTGATGGCAAGCAAGAGCAAACCATGACCGATGTGACCGACAGCTTGACCGGATGCTGCACCATGGCAGTGTGATGTCGAGCCGAGCGAGGGGGCGGCAGAAGCCTTGCGGCGTGTGGGCCGCGGGAAGGAACTCATTGTACGTCAACAAGTAGGTTGCGCTCGAGGATGTACTTGCCCTCTTTGTATTTCTGTGACGGCTCATACGCCTTCACCTGCATCAGCAGACCACGCTCGTGAGTACCGTCGGCTAATGGCAACAGGAAGCAAGGTGGTGGAGACGCACGTATTTCCAGCCTAGTGTCTGCCCGCATTTGCAGCAGTATATATCCCGGACAGTGTGGTTGCCCGTCGTCATTGCCCTGTCCTCGGGTTCGCCCTCGACGACATTGACACTGAGAAGTTGGTTAATACCAGTACTGTGGAAGATTTACCCATTACTCACACAACCTCGAACAAGTATGCTCGACCATGTTGGCCATGGAAAGCCTACAGAGTTGTTCATTTCAGTACGAAGCAGATCAGAGCTGAACATGGCTCGACGGACCCGAGAGATCATGCAGTGGATGGTGGCGAGATGTGTCTTGCACTGCGAGCATCCGTAGATACGTGCGCCGTTCAAGTAGCGACGATAGCTCATACCCATATTGAATAACGATACTCTGAGTGAAGGAGGAGAGCGGGACGAGCGCAAGATAAGGGGTACGGAGCCGGGGGAAGGAGCAGGATTGGGGCTCCGGTGTGGTATATATGCGGTCAGGTAACGTGTGAAGGATGATCAGAACAGGAGTCTCAGTCGCTGGGCTGCTGGAGTCGGGCAACAAAAGTCGAGCTCAGATGTTCGGCTGGCTGCCGCCGTGGTGCACGTTCGCTGCTGGGTTGGAGGCAGAGGGTGGAGGGCTGCCGTGGCGCCTGCGAGCTATATATCCAGTTCTACCGCTATGTCCGCAGACGCTCACACGAGCTGCTTCCGCAATCCATGCGGCCACTAAGGCAGACATGAGTCATGACACTAGGCTCGGAACACTTAGGCTGATTGCTACGGTGTGACGATGGGTCTTCTTCCGAACCGCACTACTCGCCAAGCTCTCCCCATAGACCGACAACCTCATGCCCTGTTCCGCCTTATACTCTGGCCTGTGCTCGTCGAACTGCACCTGCGTGCCGTGTTGTATATCTGCGCCCTCCAGGTGGCTTATAGTCTTTAGCGTGCGCTATTTCCGAACTGCCGGACTCTAGCATGTTCTATTTGCATCAACTCGCTGCTCCGACTTGTTGCGTATCTGCGCACTAACGCCCTTCGCGCCCGATGCAAAGCTCATATACCAAGCCTCGAACTCTTCACAAGGGACCTTTCTTGGTTTTCAATTAGCTGTGTCGCTCGGCGGACTCGTGAGTCTCTTATGTGGGGGCGTGTTGGATCATGCCTGTGTCCTCTTGACTCGCAGGACCGGACTGCCGTGGCATGAAGCACACCCATCGAAGCTGTTGCATTTGCACATCGGGACTCTAGCTATCTATCAATGTTTGCCTCAAGTCTTGGCCGCCCCACCTATAGACTTAAGGACTCCTTGCCATTATAGTGTTCCTGTGCTGGATCCATTTAATGGCTTGGCAAGCCTCGGAATGGAATCCTCTTAGTCGAAGGCGGTCGTTGTGAATGGCTGGCAACTTCCGACAATGTAAGAAAACTTTCGCTTTAGTAATTTGACGCTAAAAGCTGTGGAGCAGAAGAGGGTCGAGGCTCGGAAGTGTCTGCCCATTTCAATTTGTTATACATACATGGACCACAGAACACGTAGAGAAGACGCGTTTCCCGACGAATGGGGCCTGCTTTTGCAACGAGCATTACTGATGGATCCATTATGGCCTCTACGTGGAAAGATGGGCTGCGGGACATAGACCATTGCGCTACCCTACTGTATCATACTCGGATGTACACAAATTGATGGCGAGGTTCCCAGAGCACAGTACTCCATGGCCGAGGAATGTATATCAAAAGCTGTTGCTCGCAAATTCCTCTAACTTGTGTGGTTCTCGCATTGAAGATCTGGCATCGTCCATGCCATTTTACGTGAAAGAGCGAGACAGAATGCCTCGGGTAGGGAGGGCTCAGCACTCAGAGTTTGTCGGCCTTTCCTCTGCGCAAAGTGGCCACAGGACCAAATTGGGGAACACCTGCGATGCATAAATAGGCATCACTCGGTGGTTCCTCACGACTGTCTGCTTGGCAGTCGTTTCGCCAACAGTTGAGACAAGATGCACTGACACAGGACAACCTAGAAGCAGTGCCTGCATCAGAAGCCTGTCATGCTTTGTCAATCATTTCGATCACTTGCACCTTCTGCTCCACTATGTCATGGTCGCACTCATGTAGCGGGTTCTCGCTGTTCCGTCGCTGCGCCAGCTCTCGTCGCACCTGCTTTGTCATGCACTTCCTATGCTCCATCACGGTGTTCCTGGCTGCTCGCAGTCGAGTAGCCTCGAGGCGACTGCTCCACACCAGGGCACAGACAATGCTCTTGGTGTTGGAATCTGGGCGCGGAGCACAGATGTGAGAGGCCCCGGTGCGACCTGCGCCACTGGCGTGGGAGAGTAGTAGCGCGCGTGTATATAGTAGGGCACGGCTACAATGGGACGGGCCATCGGTTTGGCCCCGTGGAGCCATCTTCTAGAGAGCAGGCGACTCCCGAACTCCTGGCCGCGCAGCGGGCTGGCTGGGAAAGTCAACACTTGGCTTACTTCGCCTTTGCTCAGATGATACTTTATATGCTCAGCTCTCCACTGGATGATCTCATTGTCTGTTATATTCTGCCTCAGTAATATTTTCATCTCACATGTATATAAGCTGTGCCAATTTGCTAGGAATCGTCGCAGAAGCAACACCAGTATATACTCGACGCCCTTCTTATTTGATTCTATTTGCTCCTCGTCATCTTTGTCTCTCGTAGCACCTTCCTCCATCGAGTCGAGCCCTTACAGTTTGCTTCTGCCACCCTAGCTACCGACCTTCTATTCTGCGTAGTGCACTTACCTTATTCGGCCACTTTCTTGCTTTGCTGTCATCACAGCTTGACACTCTCTTATTTTCCACCTCTCATGCCATGTCTTTTGACGATGTCTCGATGGATCTCGAGAATCTTTTCAATCCTCCTCCAACTCAGCTGCAGCAACCTCAGCCTTAGCAATCTCAGCCTCAGGCTTCAGCTCCCACTGCCATTTCCTCTGTCCTCATAGGTACCGATGACTCGCCTGCCTTGCAAGCTCTTGCCCAGGCCATAAATGCTATCAATGGCCTAGCGGGTGCACAGACAACTTTCACCATCAACCAAGCTGCCATCCAGGCAGTCCTGGCAAACCTTGTGACATCTTTGCAAAGTGCAGTGCCTGTTTCGGGCATCATCTCCTCGAGAACGATCCATTTCAAGGATCCACGAACCTTCAATGGTACACCTGCAGCCGTGGAGCCTTTCCTCACAGATCTTCAAAATGCCATGCACCTTGCTCATCACCAGCTCATGTCTGACTATGATAAATCAATATACATGAGCACCTGGCTCAAGGATGGCTCTCTGAAGTCATGGTTTTGGGTGATTGAAAAGATTAAGCCCCAGCTTCTCCATGATCATGCCATCCTCATCGAGAACTTTCATGCACATTTTGGTGACTCCAATTTCATCAATAGCCAGATGGACAAGATCAAGAAGCTTGTCCAACATTTATCTGCTGCCAAGTATGCCTTTGCATTCTGCGAAATCTTCATCCACCTCCCTATCCATGATGACCTGATCAAGATCAATATGTTCAAGAAGGGCCTCAAGGATGACTGTCACGGTAACACCGGACAAGAGATCAAAAAGACTAAAAAGGGACAGTCACGTGGAACGTGCCGCCCTGATCCCCCTGATCCCAAAAGTATCCCTCTGAACCCTATGTGGCGCAAGAGCCTGTTGACTTACTGGTCAATGTGGCAGCCGCAGGAATGGGTGAGAGATATATGAAGGAGCTGGTGAGCTCAGTGAGTGCTATGGGTAGTAGACGAGGAGAAACAATCTGAGGTTTCGTCCCCTACATGGCTGGTCTTATATACACGTACAGCGGGCTATTTTACCTAAGCTACCTATCTACGGGTATAAGCAAATGGTCGTACATGAAACAATAGGATGTCCGGAAGTAGAGCAATAAGTGGGAAGATCGATGGTTGCCGCAGTAATGCATGTGCACATCGTGCCTATCTTGGTTTCCCTTTTGTTCTCCGGTGTGAACATCGTACCTATCTAGGCTTCTGGCTAAA